AGTGAAACAATCTGCCAGTGGAACTGGTACTGCTTTATCTATATTACAGGAATTATTCACTTAAAAAAGCTCATAATTCTTGCTGAGAAGTTACTTGTAAGTTAGTTTTGACTTATTTCAAGTGTGCTAAGGTATTTGCACTAGAAACTAGAACAAAAGTACTTGGTATGTTTTTGCAGTGTGGATCTTGGTTTGAATTATTTTGTTCAAACCTACAACAGAATTTGGACAAAGTTTATAGCTAATTAATAAATGTTTTAATAACATCAACATGGTTTGTGCGCAAAATGTCATTTGTGAACAAATCAAAACAAAAGAAGAAAATTAAGGCCAAGTTGAAAAACTATGATACAAAAATACTGATCGATATATTGGATCATTCTTGTAATTTCAAGTAAAAATTGGCAATAAAACAAATTAAGATGTTTCCTTACACAAATACTTGGTTAAAACACCTTTTGATTTAAATTTAGCCTTTATCCATCTTTATATTTTTCTGTTGCGTCCCACACGTTAATCTGATAACATTGAGCTCGTTATTGGTCCTCGTCGGCCTGAAGTTCCTCAGATTTCTCTGTGAGAAAAGCCAAATGTTCTTCTAAAGACTTCAAGGCTTCCTGTCAGATTTTAAAGAAAATAATTCAGTTTCCTAACAGCCACCTGAAGGTTCAGCACCAGAACTGATGGGTGTTAAAAGCTTTAGCCTGTCAAAAAAAGTTTAAGTCTGGGGTTTAATATGCCATGGCACATTTGTCCCCAGAGTTTTGGGAGGTTTTTGGACATTTTCTTGTGTCCGTCTGTCAACTCCTTAGTTTAGTCATGGAGATATCATCAGATTGTTGTCATGTGTGGAATAAGCAGTCTCTTTATGTTTTAATGGCTTGACATACCTTCAACCTCATGGAAAATCTCCTGTTCATTCTATTTTTAGCGCTGCTAACAAAGCATTGCAATCACACATGCCGTTTTCACTACAGCCTCCTAGGGGGCGATAGTGTCTGATATGTTTACACAGAAGAAGAGAATGTTGTTTCAGTTTTTGTTAAGAAAACAATATTTCTCTCCTCATTAGGTTTCTTTGAAACTAGTTCTTTTTTTGTTTTGTTGTTGAATCTGTGTTTGCTGCCACCCTGTGGATGGGAGTGTTATTGTCATTAGCTTTGTCTCCATTACAAATGTGCACAAAGGTTTCTCATAAAAAAAACTGAGTTTCACAACTGTGACGTTTCCGTTAAGTAAGAAACGCAATTAAAATCACACATGAATGTGTGTTGATCCTGTGAATTGTGTACCGCGAAAAAATTGTTCTTTTAAAATAAATAAATTTTTATATGACCAAAAATCTCATCCTAGCAACAAAACTAATCAAAAAGTCAAAATTGGTGCGATTCCATGATCAAATCCAAAAATCTGGATTGCATATTCCACATGGAATAATTACTGATAAGAAAACACACACAGTTTGAGTCCAGCGCTGTTTCAGTCTCATTGTCCAGCTCCAGTCTCTCCAGTTTGCTGGTTTCACCAAACCGAACTGCTCCTATAAAGTCTCTGCTCCACATTTCTGCAGCACCCGTGGCTGCCTCTGCAGCGCCATGATGTATTTATGATTCTGTGGAGCTTTACGTAGCCTTCATCCAAAATAAATTTTAGTGGCTGATAGCTTCACCTCCGCTCCGTCCCCGTCCTCCGGGTAAACACGGGGACGGACATGAGGACGAGGCCCTGAGCCTGGACCCACAGGAGCCGTTCCCGCTCCACAGTGAGATCAGAATGTATTCCGGTCATGAAGGATGTCTCTGTTTCTGCAGCTAATCGCGGTCCTGATGACCTCGCACGTACTCCCAACTCCACCGGTGGACTCCATGAATTTCTAGAGTAGATTTGTTCTTTGCTCTTGTATTTGTCTTTGCTTTTTCTCATGCAGTAGCCGTAGAACACACCTCAGCCTCTCTGTTCTCCCGACTTCCTGATCTGGCCAGATATCGATCCCCAGCCATGTTTGTTTAATCGCCGGTATCTCCTCTGATGTCCTCGCAAACAGATTCGCTCGTGTTCCTCTAAGTATCTGCCTTCTCCATTTGAAACAGAAGTGGTGTCCTGCAGCTAGTCATGGAGTGCTGCTCCTTTGAGAGGGCTCGTGCTTTGTTTAGGCCGTGTCCTGGTGAGGAGGAACCCTCAGGATGGAGCCGTGGTCAAAGAAGCCAACCCCCCTACTCATCCCCCCAAAAAAAGAGCAGGACTCGGCACTGCAGGCCTCCTATCTGTTGTTACACACACCGTTTCCCCTGTGCTTGTAAAGATGTTTTACATGGTTGAAGTCCTCGACTACAATTAGATAAAAAAGAATCCCTTTTTGATGCTTCTGTTCTTTTAGCTGTTGGTGTGCCGTGTCAGCATTTGCTCTGTGATAGAAATGAACAGTGGCAGTCGGCACAACTCTGAACTCCTGGGGCTGATGATGTGGAGCGCGGTTAGGCATTCCTCTCCAAAGGAACCAGCTGTTAGACGCGTCTCCATGTTTCGGTCAGGACTGGAACTTAGGAAGCCTCGACTGATTCTGTTACATTTTTACCTCTTCCATCAGATCAGGTAAAAAAAAATATATTTAAAACACATCAACATTTTCATAGTAAATCTAGTTCTAATGCGGATATTGGCATGAAATTTTCACCGCGTGTCGGTAACAACCAAAGTAATTCACACATAGAAAAAGAACAATTAAGTTCAGAAATTAAGCTGTGTTATAATGCGAAATGACTCACCTGGTTCAGTCCAAATTGAAAACACAAAATCTTACCAAAGATTTTTTTTTTTCGTCTAGTTTCTTGTGCAAATATCTTGGTTCACTTGAAATAAGACAAAACTGACTTACAAGTCATTTTTCAGCTGGAAACAGGAGCTTATTTTAAACATATAATTCCTTAATATTGATTTTAAAAAAGTACCAGTTCCACTTTTAAATTATTTTAATTCTAACATGGGAAAATGCCTTGTTATAAGTGAACTAATCTACCAATGAAAGTACTTTTTTCGAAAATATAAAGGAATTATTTAATTAAAATAATCTCCTAAATTCTTCTTCTTAAATTCATGTATCAAAAATAAAGGCCTTATAATACCTTAAATTCATTTTTAAGACTTTATGCCTTAAATACTTTAATCATAGGTCTTAAGTTTTGTCTTAAAATTACTTTTTAATCTCATATGTTTATTTTAGGGCTTCCCAAGTGTGTTTTTTTCTCCTGGGATTCGTTTGAGTCGCAGTCAGACACTCACTGCTAATGTAGCCTTACCATTTAGCCAGCTGATTTGTGTCAGTATTTTTTTAAGTGCAAAGTTATGGCTACTTGGTTGAATAAGGCTCATACAGTTATGTGAGCATCTGGGTCAAAAAAAACTAGGAAAAGTTGTAAATTAACGACTTCCTTTTTTTTTTCTACAAAATTTCTGACTTCTCAAATTTTCAGGGTTTTTTTTAAAGCAAATCTTCAACTTTTCCAATTCAGAAACTTTTACATCTTTTTTTGTAGATAATTTCTGGATTTTTATTAGAATATTTTCAAATAAAAAAAATTATAATAAATTCAAAAACTATAGAGAGGAGAACAAGGCAGCCGACTGGAGGACAAACTTCCAGAGGATGAAAAACTTTGATGGAAAGCAAAGACGCACTAAGCTGCTTTACGTCTCAATCTAATTCATGAAAGATTGTTTGATCATTAACAGTGAATGGCATAACTCATATTTCTACCTTTCTCTCTCTCACACACACACACACACACACACAAGAGAGAGAGAGAGTCTGATCCAATTATCTTCCCACAATAATGCAGATTGCCGGCAAATTCTGATTAGGAAGTTAATGACTTTAAAACCAGCAGGAGGAGACGACGAGACGCAGCCAGGAGATTAGGAGCGCAGGACGTAAAACCAAACACACAAAGTTTTTCTGTGTGCGTTCCAACCTAAAATTCATCTCCGAAACACCATTGTAAATTAGCAGAGGGTTGCAGCTGATCACAGCTGAGGGGGAGGAGGAGCTGCGTGTCGCCTCCTGAGGTTAGGCGGTAGGTAGTGGAGCTCGGAGGAGGACAGATACGTTCATGTTCACGTCCACACTGACTCTGACCAACAATGAATCAAGCGGTGAGCAATACCTCCAACCATCATTAATCTGCTGTACACAAAGGAAAAAAAAAAACAAATAAAAATGTGCTCATTCAACTGTTACTGTGCCGTCCTCACTCTGCTTGGCAAGCTGTGATTTGCATGTGTTCTGCACGCCTCGGCGCTCAACCAGCCACATCTCAGATAGTTTTAGTTCTTTCCACAGATTTTCAGTCTTGGATTCAAGACAAATGGCTGGCTTTATTTTCTTTCTCAGAAGTCAGTCGGGGGTTTCTTTGGCTCTCTGTTTGGGATCAGAAGCTGCATTTCCATTGACCGTTTGGTTGCGCAAATTGGAATTACGGAAATAAATTTGCTCAATGGAATTAAGAAAAAAAAACTTCTTTTTTTTTTGATGGAATGATTTTGACGTGGTTTTTCGACTTTTCGTCAAGCTGCAATGGAAACGTTTCTTGCATCACACGAGTCACGTGATCAACTATGACGAGGTATTGGGACCAGCAGATGGAGTGAATTTCAGCCAAACGGCTAAGAAATTTTCTACAAAAAAACCCTAAAAATTTCAAATTCAAAATTTCATTTTCAAATATTTTGCCATGATTCTCCACTTGATATATATATGAAACTTTATTAGAAATTGCTTTGGGTTCATTTCAAACATACTGGACACAGATTTGTTAAAACAAAAAAAAAAGAAAGGGAGAACGTTGAAAAGTTTTAAAACACAAGAAGGAAGTAGGAGTAAAGGAGGGAAAGTAGCACAGAGAGAACACAAGTCAAGTCAGAAGTCTGCCACTAACCTGCAGAGAGAGAGAAAACGAAGCCCAGAAACCACAACCTCTCTGATTGGTCCTCTTCTCCCAACACAGGAGCCCGGTCACCGTCGGCCACGGCTGCTACTGCTTGGCCCTGCTGAGGTCGGTGCCGGCCGCCGCCTACGTTGTCCTGGTGACGGTTCTGCGCTACCACCTCTTCATCTGGAGCGTCTTCTCGCCCAAGCTGCTGTACGAGTCCATGCACCTGCTGCTGACCGCGGGAGTGTGTCTCGTCTTCATCACCATGGAGCAAAGTCCCGGCTCCAGTAAGTCCTAGTGGGAGGCGAGGCGGGGTCGGACACAGACCCCCTCAGACTGCCGCCGTACAATCGACTCCCGCTCTTCATCTCCTCACGCTGTGTGAATAGATGTGCACTCAGTAATATATTTAAATACTTTTCTGTTTCTAAAAAATGGGGGTGGGAAGTGGTTGAGGATGAATAAAAATGTGATGTAACTTGTGGAAAGAGAAACACCTGTTTCCCTGAGAGATGTGCTGGACTTGGAGGTGCAGAATAAAAGCAGGCTGTCGGAGAACTTTGATGTTGCGTTTTCTGGGGGTAGCTGCGTGTGTTTATCTGTTTCCATGCCGACCTGCGTCCTCCAGGCTCACCCCGCCTCAAAACGCTGCGCTCTCTGAAGTCGAGACCGTCGGTTCCCCCGGGGCTCCGGATGCTTCTTGATCAGAGGTGAGAGTAACGGCATCGAACACGACAGTTTTCCAGTTAGAGGATGTTGGGATTCGGGGTCCCGCTGCGTCCTTCACTCCCCAACACGGATACTGGATTATTAATCTAGCCAGATGTCCCACTGTGACGGACCGAAAGGGGTCCGCTGTCGATGCCTCTGTGTGTGCCGACTCGGGCCTAAAGGTGCCGAGGTGAGTGTGAGCGAGATGTCAGACGGCTCCAGCCTGCGTCCGCCTACTCGGAGCTCTAAAACCGGTTCTAATCGGGCAGTGCTAATGAAAATAGCTGTGTGGGAGGAACACAGGAGCGCAGAGTGGGAGTTTTAAAGACACTGCAGTCATTTCTCTGTAGAAGTTTTTCTAATGTATCATGGATAATTGATTAAACTCCAGTTTTCTTTTCTTTTTTTTCTTTTTTTTTTGTTTTTTTAATTATCATTATTCCATAAGTTGAGCTTTTTCGGTGGTAATTGTTTATGAAGCTCTCTTGGAGAGCAAACAGCTGTCAGGGTTACACTTCTTTCCAAAAGTATTTATTCATCCTAAGCTTTTCATTTTGTCACGTTAGAACCACAAACTTCAGTGTGTTTTATTAGGACCATTTACTTGTATTCGGACAAAAGGTGAAACTTAGCTGTTGAGTTAATTCCTGCATATTTACACCACTGTGAATGGTAATGTTGATTAATGTGAACTGTCCTAATCAAATTTAATTAATTCTGCATTTTTATATGCAATAGACTAACTAGTTTTTCAAAAATATCATTCAGATTACAAATGAAAAAGGTGTGGAAGATGTTTACCAAAAAGCAAAATGCTTCCAAATCCACGTTTTACACTGAGGGCAGTGCGTTCAGGGTGACGTGTAGCGTTAGAGATTACATCCATTCTCCTATCAACTAAAACTTTAAAACCATTTTGATGTCATCTGAGTACACCAATAATCAAGGTCACTATTCACCCAACATGTGTCACCCAGTTTGGGGTGCCACCAGGTTTTGGGTGCCACATGTTGGGTGAACTTTAGGGTTAACATCTTGTGGTTAACTCCCAGATTCTTCCACCTGAGCTCAGGATTTCTACTGCTGCTCCAGAGTCAACATGGCCCTCTTGACTGCTCTTCTAGTCTGGATTTTATTTTAGGATTTCACAGTTAAAGGGGGCTCAATACCAATGCTCTCCATCTGGACCAGACTTTAGAAACGGTTCTAGCCCAGGGCGCCACTGATTTTATTTATTTTTTTTATTATTTTCTTTTTAATGAATGCATGTTTTGCGAACCTTGCACTTTATATAATGAGCTCTGGCTCATATCAGATGAGTTGTATTAATATTTTGGGATTTTTATGAATATAAACAATACGTATTTGAACATTAGGACCAAAACTCTTTCCAGTTCAGACCCCCGCATCATTGTAAATCTGACCCTGCTCATAACTGTTCAGATATTTGTTATACATTTTGGAAAAGCATATATGATATTCGTTCCATTTCATAGATATACATGTGTTGTTCTGTCTCATGAAAACCTTGAAGTTTTTGAGGCTTTAACATGACAAAATGGAAAAATGTTTAAATGGCACCAATACTTTTGCAAGTATTCTCAGTTATCGTCAACGTCCAAAAGGGGGAAAAGGATAATTTTCTGCTTTATTTTTACGTTAATCATTTATTCTTTCTTATTTTTCTCTGTTTGTTTGCAAAATTAACCTGAGTTCTGACTCAGAAACTGAACCTTTTCACCGTGCGGTCTTTGTGTTCTGTCATGCCCACAAACAAGAGCCAAACTGGCCACCGAGGCGGCTTCGATCCAAAGCAGTGAGAGCAGCGGTGAAACGGTGACGCTCACCTTTATTCCACACACTGATCCAAGTTGCTCTCAAAGCTGCCTGAGTGACCCGGCCTCTCCCCGTCCTGGAACTGTGTGTATCATTTGAGTAATGAGAGCAGCTGCCGAGCCAAGGAGCAACACACGAAGCAGAAACTAAAACTATCTGAACTGTTATTTCTTTTGGCATTGCTGATGTGAAGGAACATCTGCGACTCCTTCACAGCGCCGCATTGATTACAACCTGCCAGCTCCGACATCTCCCCCACTTTGAGGTCTGAACAGAAAAAATAAGGGAGAAGTAAGGGATCAAGCTGAAAAATGCAACAGTTTGCGGCGTTTTCATCTCCAGGCAGAGAAACCGATTGTTCCCACCCTTAATGCTTGTCACTCGGCTTGATGAGCCGCCTGCGTTGCGAAACAGCTTCTCGCCCGAGGCAGAGATCCCCGACACCCGGCGAGCCCGGCCCGCCACAGGCGTCGCGCCCGGGGGACGTTCGGTGCGTTTGCTCCTGCGCCGATTCCCGCCGTAGCTCAGGCCTTTTGTTTTCGCCGTGGCTCACCTTGACTGGGACTGACAGACGGAATGCAAATGCCCCCGGACACGCAGCAGGATTTCCGCCGGAGTTCAGAGGGTCTGCGGCGGGAAGACGCGTTGCATATGGATCACTGCGGGTCGGGTCCTCTCCATCACAGGGAAAGGCACGTTCAGCTTGTGAGAGAGTCCGGGAGCTCAGAGTTAATTTGACCTTTTTCTAAACCGTCAGAATGCTACTGTCAAGTGCCTTTTCCGCTCTTTGGCTGAACGGGGAATCTCAGCCAGACTTCAAAGTCTGCCATAAATAGTTTATGAGCCAGATAATAATCTACATGACTCTGAGGATTAGTCTGTCAGTGCTCGGTATGCTCCACGTCTCTGTCCGACAAGCTCTGCATTGTCTTTACAAACTGAGCTGCTAACCCACACAGATGCTACGGAGTTCTCCTGAATGTGACGTTCGAGGACAACACCACCAGTCACATCAGTTACTATCATGGCAAATCATTAGCTAGTAGACTAAAGTGATAGAAAAACCAACAGTCATGATGAACAAACTGATGTCGAACAGAAAATGTTGTACATCCTGGTTATAGAGCATCTGAACAAAATGGGTACTTTGATTAAAAACTTAATTGGAGACAGAAAAGTATCTAAAGAAATGCAGAAAACAATCAACTGCTTACTTAAAATCATCTCGGATGCTTGAGAAATCCAACCAAAACCAGAAAGACGTGGAAGAAAACAAACTACCATTCTGGTAGGATGACGGGTGAGTCTGATCAGCCAACGATCAAAGAACATCTACTGTTACCTGTGAGTTGTGTAGCAGTAAGGATGCCTCTGTGAACCAAAGGTATCAGCTAGTAGCCCCAACAGAACCCCGTTGTTCAAAACCAAGAATGGACACGTTGGCAAAGACGTCGTTGTTTGCCCTGAAGAAAAAAATGGGGCAGATGGTTTGTCAGACAACAATCTAATGCTAAATTTAAAGAGGCAGGAAACTGGGAAGAAGGGTTGCCGAGGCGTTGCGGTATAGTCAGGCAGGGAATGGTCAACGTAAGCCGACTGTTTAACGTTTGGACCAAACGTTGACCGAACATTCGCTGTGAAGAAAATACTTTTACTGTGATTTCTTTTAATTAACCTTTATTGTTGAAGGAACGATGTCTCTACATGTTCATTGATCGTTGTTGTCATGCTTATCTACTGCACAGTAAGGGGTTCTTTATGCTAAAGAGGAAGTGGCTTCAGAAGTTTAGTGACCTCAAACACACCAGTAAGCCAGCAGCATCTTGGTTGCAGATGGAGGTTTTGTTAGCAGAACCGAATCTCCTCACTCTGAGGATTGGGTTAGCAGAAGTGGCTAACCCAATCCTCAGACTTCAATCCAAAAGAAAACTTGTAGAGTGACATTAGAGATGCTGATTCTGAGGTAAGAACAAAATATTGAGGGAAACTGTGGAACGGACAGCAGTCAGCCTGATCGTCCTGGACTAGAACATGTTCAGTGTTTAAGTTTTCTTAAATTCTTCAAGCATTTTGCAGTAAATATTTGAGTTTGTAAGCCAAAATGCAGACACTGCGCTTTTTTTTTAACCGCCTAATATTCATTTTTCCCATGTTTCTGTAAACTGAGAGCAAACTTAATCAATTTTCCTTCACTATCGGTGTTTCCAATCCATTGGTGAACTTGTAGTGAGTTTGTGTGTGTGAAAGTCAAAGCTGCAGCATGTAGTTAGAGCGTTATTTAAGTGTTGTTATTTAGAACACAGCTGCATTGATTTACTGCTGTGAGATATAAAAATGATTGTTGTTCCAGACTTCTCAGAGGGTTTCTCTGCTGCTGAAGATGAATTATGCTGGATGGAGTAACATTCATCTGCATCTCATTAGTGTCCTTGCACTAAATGAAAAAGCCTCGGCTTCGTTTAATGGAGCCGAGCAGTTCTGTACGGAAGCTGAGAAAAAACGGGCAATAATGTTCTTGGGGATGGAGTTTGATCTTTATTTCAGTGGATTCTGTGTAAAAGGGGCTTTTCCGATCGACCCGGTCGTATTTATTTTCCAAAGAGCCACAATGACTGCAAAGTGAGGTTCGCCGATACGCTGAGCTCGCAGGCGGCAGACAGAAATCCTCAGCCCGGCGTTTTACAGACGGCCTCTCTTCCCTCTCGTCCCCCCAGCGGATCGTCTGTAAGCCCCCGTCCGTCTGCAGCGGTGCAGGAAGCCTCGGCTCTAACGGGGCTGACACTCTGTGTGTGTGAAATCGCTCCTGTGTATCTAAAATACCCAGCAGCCCGTGAAATGGATCGGAATAATTGTTTCGTTCACATGGCTGGAAGCTCTCACGCGTCACGGCGAACGTCTCGGCTTGTGCGTTGTTTCCTCCAGATTCCCTCCTCGGAGGAAGAAGCGTTTATTTTCGTGTTGTTAACCACCAGGGTTAGTTTAGTTTAGTTTCTTCAGGATCTCCTGGTGATGGTGTCAACTGTACCACAACAAACATTTTTGCAAAGCACTCTTCTTCAATGAGCACACAAAATCATTCTCGCTTGATTTTTCTGTCGTTTTAATAGAAACTATGCAACTCGAGCTGTTTGTGTGTCGTCTGTTGATTTGTTTCTGTTGGTTTTACGTGATCATCTCAATAAAGCCGATCTTTGTACCTACCTCCATGTCTGGGGATGAGTACCAGTTTTTCATTTGATGGAATAAAGGTGAATTATTTCTCTAAAATCATGTGTATGAAGTTCTTTTTCTCTTCCAGTTATTGAAATCGATCATTCTCAGCAGCATACACCTTTGACTGATTTCTACCTCCTGGGAAAACGACGGACCCGATTTCAGCCGAACATCCTCGTCTTTTAGACGTTAATCCGTCCATTTCCCTCAAGTGATCTCGGTGATTAGCCGGCCATTAAATTGCCTTTGGGCTCGGTACAGACTGGATGGGGGCCATCTGTCTTCAGGCCTGGCCCCACTCTGGGAAGCGGGCGGCTGTGACGTTCGCAAAGTTTTCACCGGAGTGTCCTTCTGATTTGGTGAGACGGAACGAGACGCCGTCCCCCCCTGCCGTGTTTCAAAGAGCCGTAGTAGGAGGATGACAACTTAGCCATCATCCATTTTATCCACCCACTAAATAATCATTTTGTGCCTCCAGGAGCCGGGCAGCGTCAACAGAAGAACACATTCCACGCTTTTCTTGCTTCAGAGTTAGGAGTCCGTGCCAAAAAAATCCTCCAACGGGATGATGCACCAGAGATGTGCTTATTGTCCTGAAATGTGACACACAGAGCTGGATTCAGTCGGTTTTAATAGGGGGAGCGTTTTTATGTTTCCTATAAATCCCTTTTTCTTTTTTCTTTTTTTTCCCCAACACAATCGGTTCCATCCTGAGGTCACTGTCGAAATCCGAGTGTGTGACTTTTTAAGAAACGTTATTTGTGGAGCCTCTCTAATGTACAGTATATATGTTGAGCACAACCATCCATTTTCTCCACTCTCACAGTTTGGGGTCACTGCTTCCACCTTTCTTCCCGTCTCCATCCTTTACAGCCCTTTTCTGGAGTGTTTCTAAAAGCCTCCTCATGCTACAACCGAGACGATCCGTGATCCCTCCGGGCCGAGGCAGCGCCTCGCTAATGTAGTCACAGACCTTCAGCATCTTACCATCCTCTTAATTTACACACACAAAGAAAGAGCTTATCACTATTTTATGTGACATTGGATGATTGTGAGGAGTAATAAACGATTTGTTTGGGGTTTTTTCCCGTATACCTGATCGTCTTCCTATCTAAGGGACAGACTAGACGGGTCAAATACAGTTGTAGAGAAATCCTGAGCTTTGACTAGCCAGCAATGGGGAGCAGCGTGTTAGGATGGCGCACCCACCCCAACGTGGCCATCCGTCTGCCGGGACAGGCTGCACCGAAAAAGGAAAACGGGCGACCTGAGTGAAGTTGGCCCCCCCACCTTCTTCAAATCAGACAAAATTGGTGTCAAACGTTTGTGCTACGTTTGTGCAGCAAAAATTTCCGTTTGTGCCGCTATCATTTTAAAGATATAAAGAAATGTTTCCAGAGGTCATCCAAGGTCAACCAACCCCCCACCTTCTTCAAATCAGACAAAATGGGTATCAATCAACTCGGCTACGTTTGTGCTGATTTGTGCAGCAAAATTTTTTGTTTGTGCTGCTTTGGCTTTGAAGATATTAATGAAAGTGTAAAGGTCAAATGGTCAACCAGCCCCCCAACTTTTATGAAATCCAACTTTCTTTATATCTTTAAAATGGTAGCGGCACAAATGAAGATTTTTGCTGCACAAACCAGCACAAACATAGCACTAACGTTTGACACCAATTTTGTTTGATTTCATAAAAGTGTGCGGGCTGGTTTACCTTTTGACCTTTTCATTTTCATTAATATCTTCAAAGCCAAAGCAGCACAAACGAAAATTTTTGCTGCACAAACGTAGCACAAACGTTTGACACCAATTTTGTCTGATTTGAAGAAGGTGGGGGGGCCGACTTCACTCAGGTAAACGGGCGATCCAACTTGGAAATCAATTGAGCCCCAAGCCCTAACCCTGTTGCAACTAATGACATTAAGGTTATCCAAATAAATATATGAAGTTGTCATGTTGAATAAATGTAAATAGAGTAAGTTTGACAAATTTAAATTTGATTACATGTAACAAATTATTTTTTTAGTTGGAGATCCATTCTCATTTTTTCAGTGTGGCTAAGGACAGCATTACTCAGAGAATGGGAGCTCTGTGGGAGCTACAGCGATCCACATCTCAGGTGGGGAAAATCTGCTGACAGGACAGCCACCAGCAGTAAGCGTCAAAAATCAGATTTTTACGGAAAGGAGTCCCGTATCCAGTTTGACACAGACCATGCAGGTGCAGTGATGGTCAGACTCTTAGCCATCGGGACCAAGTTTGTCAGCTTTAGGATGTTTTCACACCTGTTAGTTTGCTGGTGGCTGTCCTGTCAGCAGATTTGCTTCGATTGGGGACAAAGGTTGAAACATTTAGTTACATTTTCAGCTTGTGCGGTTCGCTTTCACACTGAACTGAAACATATTCTCCTCCTCGCCTGTGGTGGCGCTGCACCAAGAACCGCTGAAGGAAACGACATGAAACCCTCTGAAGAAGACACCGAGTGCAACTTGCTCCTCCTTCACAAACTGGAAACAAGAAATGAGTGACTGTTAGATTTCTCTTTTGTCTTTGCAAAAGATCATGAGCCATTTCTTTGACTATAGTTGGACTCTTGCTTTTGGCTAGGTTGGAATTACCCATGATGCCCTGTGCTACGGTCCTGTGCTTCTCTGTCCGTCCCTGAGGTAGAGACACCGGCTATGGAAGGCGTTTGCTTTGGTTAGTAAGTCATACTGTATGTGTGAACGTCACGCTGATTTATAGTGAAGAATGTGCAAAGCTGGTAGAGTCGTCACAAACTGGCAGCCATACACTGCAAAAACACAAAACCTTATCAAGTGTTTCTGGTCTAGTTTCTAGTGTAAATATTTGACTGCACTTGAAAAAGGACAAAACAATCTTTTTACTTTTTCCCCCCTAAGACATAAAAGCTTGTATTAAATCAACAGTTCTAGTTCCACTAGCAGATTATTTCACTTATAACATGAGGAAATTGTCTTGTTAAAGGCGGAACTTGAACGTTTTAATATAAATATTAAGGATTTATTAACTTAAAACAAGTTCCTATATGTTGATGAAAAGTGACTTGTTGGTTTTGTCTTAATTCAAGTGCACAACTGGTCTAGGTTTATTTGCACTAGAAACTAAACCAAAAACAACTCGGTTAGATGTTTTGTTTTTGCAGAGTATGCAAGAGTTGTTTTACCAAAGTGGAACAAAAAAAAAGACATGCCAAACTTTTTAGATTTTTCATAATTTATCGCATAAAATCCAGTTTCTGCTCGTTACACAAAGGCCTGGCGTGAGGAGACAGACACCTCGCTGTCTGCTGGCTAAAAAAAATAAAAACGATTTCAAGATGGAGCTCATCCTGCAGAACCCAGAGTCTGAAGCTGAGGAGATCGGAGTTCATAACCTGATCATCTCTTTCCCTCAGCCTTCCCAGCCAGCATGCCTAGGTGGGACCCATGTGGGGACAAGGAGGGCAGACTATATGGGTCCCATATGGGTTTGTCCGCGGGTTCCACGATGGCCCCACATGGGTTTGCCCATGTAGGGCCACAGCCCACATGGGTGCTACATGGGCCCTAATTGGACAAAACCCATGTGGGCCACCACCATATAGGGCCCATGCAGGGCCCATGTGGGCTCTGGCCCTACATGGGCAAACCCATGTGGGGCCATCGTGGAACCCGCGGACAAACCCATATGGGACCCATATAGTCTGCCCTCCTTTTCCCCACATGGGGCCCACCTAGGCATGCTGGCTGGGTTGTGATGGAGCTGCAGCTCCTCTATGAAAGGAAATACTTTATTTTCTATCCCCCGCCTGTTGCTGTGAACCCAAAAAAATAAAAACGGGAAAAAGTCATTTTTGGGAAGCAGTAAATCATATTTTCTGCTCATTTTGTTTTGCCGCTTTCAATATGTATCCTTTCATTCGTCTGCCTCGTCGCATTACGAGGAGCCGCTGTGATGCATCTAAACATCCTTACTCACGTATCGAGTCGGTTTAAGAAGAAGAAGAAAAAAACAGCTCTTACTGCATTATCCATCCCATCCCTGCTGAATTGTGAAGCTTTCTCGGCCCCGCTGCTGCTCCGGCATACAAATCATCGAAGGAGTGAGAGGAGAAAACTGGGAACAGACGAATCAAATGGTCTGAGCTCAGCTTGATGATTCCCAGTCTTAATAACTGGATCAGATGCAAAGATCACCAGAGAGACGGATCTCTGATCGGATCGAGTTGAGTTGATGTTTTCAGACTCAGGCCAGGAGGAAGAAGGGAGAGAATATTCCAGCTGACGCCCATAAAGTTTCTAGTTGTCTTTAAAGATGCATTTGAATCGCCATAAATTTCCAATTGGTCAACAATTAATTCTGATTAATTTGGGGGGGAGGAAAACAATAAGAATTATGTGGGCTAGTTACGCAGTCTTCAGTATGTAAAGGTTCCTCCGCTAATATTTGGTCAAATTTCCGTGCGCAGCAGAGAAGCCGTGCTTCTGGTGAGCCGTTCTGCGTCATCTACCAGATTTCTGGCCAGATATTTGATCACTCTCCCCTTCAGTTTAGAGGCGCGTATTTAAATCGGTCGATTTCCTGGCTCCGACTCAGCTTTTCACAGTTGATAAATTTTCCAGCAGAGTGGAGGTCAGGCCGAGGGCCGAGAGCGAAGCCGTGGCTGCATTTAGACACCGGATCTCCAGATTCTTCCACTTCACCGCAAATCGACAAAACAGATGGACGGCTGAAACTTGGATGTATTTTGATGTTCCAACACACGCATATAAAAATAAATAAATTGTTTTTGGGATGGAAGTGTGACAGAATGGACATTAGAAATAATTACACCCCCCTCTCTTTTCTTACTTTGTTTACTTATTTATGTTTTTTTTTTGTTTGTTTGTTTTTTATGTTGACTGTGCTCTTAAGTTGCACGGCTCTTGCTGCGATGCGCTGTACTGCAGTTACAACGGTTCGCCACCAGTGGGCACATAGAGCAC